TTTCCTTTTTAACTGTCTCTTTTGCAAATTGATCTATTTTCAGCATTTAGGACAACCAACCCCCACCCATTTAAATGCTAATGATTCCTTCCCATGTCAATGTTATTCTTTTACATAAATGACATTTTTCTGCTTTTAATGACTCCCCTACCAAAATATTTCCACAAATGGACAATTAACAAATAAATGGCTGAACATTTTATTTATTTTAGCCAGATTATTCTGAAATTTTTTTTCTTTTTTAGCTCTCATGTCATACATTCAGGAAATTGACTTTTTATAGATTACATCACTTTTTTTTTTAATAAAACTGAAAGGTGGAGTTAAAAGGTAAAAAATGTGTTGTGAGATTTTTGAAGCGATTTGTGTTGATCGGATGTATAAAAAAAAATTGAGTGCAATTAAATATTTTCATATCAAATAAGATTCTTGTTTTTAATATTAACCTTCCTGCTACGAGTGCAGCAAAAACTTAGTTGACGTTTGACTAATTTTCTCATCGACAAGTGAAATGATTTAATCAACTTTCAAAATAAAATTTTTTTTTTTTTTTTTTTTTCCAGATCCGTTGTTTTAAACCATGTCATGTTTTTCTTCTCATTAAGCAGTATTTTGAGGATAAGTATTTGAAAAAGGCAAAATTAATTTTTACTTGGAGAGTCTGCATTGCACAGACTCGTGGATGCGTTTCAGGAGGGATGGCGATTGGACTCTTTTTACATGGATTTTGATTTTTTCTTTTTTTTTTTTTTTTTAAGTCTTTACATACCCAGATTTAAATTGAATGTAGTGTCAAATAAATTGACTTTTCTGTCTGTGATTATGATGATGGTAATTCTGTGTTCCTTGAAGAATTTAATTATCCTCTACATTGGACAAGAATCCGATCTAGTGATAGGCAGAGCCCAAAGCAATTACTGGATGAACAGATAAAGAAAAGTAAATGGTTCCAATGTGGACAAAAAGCAAAGTTGAAGGAGTCAAAAGACAAATTACAAACAGCTTTTAAAATCAATTGAGATAATTGTGGGAAATGTTGCAAGTGGCCAATTAAAATGGAGGATATAAGGGGGGGGGCAAAGCTCTTTGAAGAAAGCATGTAAAAATCACAGAAAAACAAAATCGATGATGATTATACTCTGAGATTTTTAGCTATGTCTGCCTCTCATGCTGGCCTGTTCTGGCATAAGCAAAGCCATACACTAAGGCTTCCAGCTGCCTATGCACAACTAATTCCTGTGCAATTTATAATAAAGGGTGTCAGATAAACCAGACATGTGAAATCTTGTATTGCGCATTTGATAGTATAAATAATAAAAGTTTTTTGTCGAGGAGAAAGTTTAAAAGCCTTGCAGGGTTGAAAAGTCATTCCAGATTACACAATTCAATGGTACATCTTCCACAAATTTTTATTCAATACAATGTAAAATCATTTTTCATTTGATAGAATAAGATTTCAATTTGCATATAGCTTAACAGTTTCTGCTATCATCTCTAAACTGGATTCTAACAAAGCATATGGACTTGAAGGTATCCCTGTGATAGTCCTTAAGAAACGTGCTCCCAAACTGGCTCCTGTTCTCTCTAAATTCTATGATTTAGTCCTGTCTTAATAGGAAGTCTGGGTTCAATAAGGTTAAATTAGCAGCTGATCTAAAAAATTACTGACAATCTGTTAACTAGGGCAAAGAATGGCTTGTTAATTTTAATGCCACCAAAATGAATCTGCTCTCTTTTAATCTTAGATAATCTTGTTTGCATGGCTGATGCTAACCTCCAGAATGACTCCATTGTCTTCTCAGACCAACATTTTCTGCTGATATAGAAAAATTATGTTGAATCCATTGTTACATCTGCTGCTAGGAATGTTGGTTCACTGTGTCATGCTAGATAATTTTTCTTGCTAGAATCTATCTTACATTTAGAAGTCTACAATTCATCTATGCATTGAATATTGCTGCCACATCTGGTCTGGTGCTTCTGCTATATATTTAGAGATTCTTGATAAAATCCAAAGAATCTTGTATATTTATAAGTCTACCATTCATCCATGTATTGAATATTGCCAAATGACTTGTCACAGTTAATTTTGGCTCCCATCATCTTTAGTATCAGTTAAGCGCCTTCTGTACTACTTCAATATTGCTATGCCATGACACAAAAAGAGACATGTCATCAATGTACGTAGAAACCCTGGCTCAACCTCTAAGGACATCAATTTTGCGTAGGGCTGGACCTCGATGCCAAAGCATAAAGCAGACAACCCTGAGGAACTGACAGACAGTGCAAAAGCGCTTGACCACTTTCCGTTCATCTTACTACAGCACTGTGGAAACGATACAGGAGGCCGATTCACTTGCAGATGTTGGGTTTGAATCCGGTGGCCTGCAGGACAACTGTCAGGTACCAATGGTTGACCCTATCAAATGCCCTAGACTGGTCTAAATTAACACGGATTCCTTGTCTTCTGCACTCTCTAGGATCATGCAGACCAAATGCAGGTTAATTTGAATTGCTTGGGTCCCAAACATTCTGTCAGGATCTTGGCCAAAATTTTTAACTCCGTTTAGCAGAGTTGTGAGCCTATAGTCATCTAATTCCTGCCTAAAACCCTTGCCTCTTTTTCAACAGCGTGATCACACCGCCAGAACCAGTTGTTGAACATGACTGTCAAAATCGGAACAAAGATGTGCAAAAGCCTCAAGTACAGTTCAAGGCAGACCATCAAGTCCCAGAAACTTGAGATTGAAGAGGGTTGTCAGTGACAAGTGAACATCGACCTCTGATCTCACCCTCACAGCTAGCCACTTCAGTCAGCTCAAGCTGAGGAAAGTCAGCCAAATAGCTGCAAAACTCATCGCCACCGAGACCAGCTCTTGAAATGCTGCACACAAATGTTCCAAAAACTGGAGTGTGACAATTTAGTATAAAAAAAAAAAATATACAAGGACATGTAGGACAAGCAACCCCCCCCAGTGATGGCACTCATGATATCATGACTAACAAACTTTGACCTATTCAAAAAAAAAAAAAAAAAAAAAAAACCTCCCACAATGGGCATTCAAAAAAAGGAGTGGGAATGATTGCAAAAGTCCCCACCTCTCCCCCTTATAATCAGAAGGACACAAAATGCATGCTGGGATATTTTTCTTAGCCAATAAAATGGGACGGCTTGTGTTTTGACATGACTCAGTCCAGATGTGCTAATTCAGACAGACTTTTCAAACTCTCTGCCTTCAAGCAGAGAGGAACCCAGATGAGGCTCTACCCTTTGGTAGAGTCATGTTTGGGGGATGTTGACAAGCCCAACCTGTTTATGCAGATAATTTTTGCCCATGCTTATGGGCTTGGATTTGCCCCACAAAGAATGGTCGTGCCAGAGCCTGCCTTGTTGGGGAGGCTAAGGTAAATAACCTCAGTCCAGATCTGCTTTAACTACTAGACAGACATACTGCGGTCACTTGGTCAACCTTGATTTTGTTTACAATTCTTTTTGCCACCTTATCAATTTTGATTTGCTTTAACTATATTGTTTGTTTGCTTGCATGATTGTTGCAGTTTCATCCTTTTTGACCGTTTTTCTTTTCATTGCAAACTTTATTAATGGTTTGTTAAAATGCAAGATAAATAACAATATCTTCTAACTCATCAGGATTAACAGGTTAATGTTTTAGTGAAATAGACTTAAAGAATTTACATGCTAATAAAAAAAAAAAAAAAAAAAAACCTAAGAAACAAAAAGAAACACAGGTCCGATTCATCTAAACAGAATAAAAGACACCGCATTATGTATTAGATCAACCAGGTGAAGACGGCCATAAAAATATATTTCTCACTATTAGTTATTTTCTTTATCTGCAGTTCAGGTTTTAAGATTAACGGTGGAGATCTGAAGTACTTGGAGGGTGGGGGAGGTTTTGTTGGCAGCTTAACTTTAAAGTATGTACAATTATGATGGTAAAGATTTTGATCTAATGTGACACTATTTATCTATGGTAATTAACTAATTAATTATGAAAATTAAACCATACTGAAAACGGAAAAGATACCAACATTTTTTTACTTTGAAAAGGAAAACCCGACTCACAAAAAGGCCATATGCGAACTTTTGACAATTGATGACATTGTAAAAGTACTGGTCGAGAAAAGCAGAATAACCCAGCCTCGAGGATATGGCTTTAAGTGGCCATGTGTTTATAGAATTTTAGCATGAGAAAATATCTTGAAAGAATTGCCGATTTGAAGATAAAGAGATTTATTTTTCTTTTCTGAGAAGCCAAAGGTTCCCTGCAGACCATGACAATTGATGTTTGTAAAAGCACAGGTTAAGACACAAAGTGACCAGGAGCATCGAAGATAGAGATTTTAAACGACAGAGCCATGTTATTTGTAAGAATTTTGTCTTGTGTGAATGAGAATTTTGTGAACAAGTTTATAATTTTAATGAGGCCAGCTTAGCCACACCCGGGATGCCATTGGTCGAGTGGTAGCAATTGTGATAGACGGGGGAAATTATTAACGCCCACTGAAATGAATTGGTATGAGGTGCCAATGTGAGGAGGAGTTTGGGAGGATAGCTATCCTGTAACCTCTCCTCACAACTGAATGGATCCCCACCAAAAATGGAAAGTAATCAGTTTTCCTATCCAAACAGAGGTCCCTTGTCAGAAATTGGGATTTACCGAAAACCCCAGGCTGCGTCTAACCCTGCACTGGTTTTTGGTCGGTGTCCATATAAGCGAGCTCCCTCGGGCAGTTCACCAGTAATTGTTGATAATTTTCAGCCCGGCAGTTCAAGTAGCAGGAACCAGAAAAAAGAAACAAAAACAAAAGTTTTTTTTTTTTTTTTAGTTCACTTTTATTGCAGCACCAATTCCAGATTTACAATTGGAGAGGAAAAAAAAAAGAAAAAACGAGGCCTAAAGAAACAAACAATAGCCAAACTTTAAGAAATGATCAACAGAAATGTATCGAAGCTGACCATCATTACCCACATAATTCTAACATGGCTTCTTAAAGACCATCTTGCTTGACTTTCTGGTAACTTGACAGTTGTTAGCTGCTAAGGCAAGAAATATTTTTGATGTAATCATCAGGAGGCAAGCAGTAGACAGGCACCTAAAGAAAGACGGAGAAGAAAAAAAAAAAACCAAAAAAATGAGGTAAAAATGGAAGAAATATCCAGTCTTAATACAAAAGCCCAATATTCATTTTCTCATTTGTTTCTTCTGGTTTCATAAAGCAAAATGCTGTCCAGATTCAAATGGCCAACTTGAAGGTAAACCAGACAATTTCACTATGCTAATCATTACAATAACATCAGTTTCTCTTATTCCACATTCTTGAGTGCACACATGAATCAATGCAATTTGTGGTACATAAAAGACTGCCAACTTTTTTTTTTTTTTTTTGAGAAATTAAATGACACACCACATAACCAGTTTTTATAGATTTTATTTTCTGTGCAACACACCAACAATTGATAAATATATGAAAAGAAATGAAAAGACAAAATGCTTCTTTGGAACAGGTCTTAACCATGTCTTCCTCAAATTCACAGCTGTCAATCTAATTTTAGTCATGAACCATTTCACACACATTTTAACCTTCAAATTTGTTGTGCACATTATACTTTGTTTTGGATTTCACTTTTGTTGGTTGCCATAAGGAAACCTCACAATCTTTGCCAAATCATTATACAAGTGATCAATCATTGCATTGACTGAAATCAATCCAACAATCGACAGTATTTATAGTTACCATTAATTTTAAAAGCTACTGTTAATATCCTATCAGAAATGCATTCACCTGTGACAGGGTTTATTTGGGTTACTTTACTTTCCATCACTGGCTCTGCAGCCATGTTGACAATCTTGGTATGTTTGTTGCCCAGTCTTTTAATCTTCTGAAGAACTGATACTATCCACTTTCACTAAAGATTTAATTTCCTTGGGTCAAAGATGAACGAAAACAAAAAGAAATAACCTCCCACAAGTCACGAGTACAGGAAACCCTCGATTAGGGCACTGAAGGATTATACACACACACACAAAATTCAATTAGTGTGGTAAGACATTCTTCAGTTTAACCATAGTAATTGAAATTTGGATTTTTTTATAGTTACTGATTAATTAAAAATTTCCTAAAATTTAAAAATGGAAAATGGGCAACCATTTTGTTTATATTCAATTAATGTGCTTTCAATTATATTAGCTGCACTAATTGAGGGATTCCCATATTTGATTTCCATCTGGCCTATGCCACTTATGACTGTCACTCATTTTAGAGAATATTGAATAGCCATTATGAGAAAAATCTTTCACATTTTGTTGTGAGGAAAAAGAAAAAAAAGATACCCCCAAAACAAGTTGTAAGAGCCACAGGAAAGTATTTCTCATTTTGAGAGTCAAGGAGAGCGCTTTGTTTAATTGCCATAGGAAGAAAAAGTACTTTTCACGTTCTTATACAGATTTAATTTCAAATTCAAGTTAATGATTGTTAATAACTGCATTAAAAATATAAACATTGTTTTCAGACATGAAGGGGGACAAAGTTAAAGGGGGGGGCATAAATTAATATTAATATCACCAATTTTGGGGGACAACCTAATTGGATTCTTATTGAAGAGATATTGACCTGAAGTAGAGTTTAACTGTAGAGAAGAAAATTATTAGGGTTAGTTTCATATTTCAAAACTGATGGTTTTGTTTTTTTTAATCCTTTCTTCATAGAATTCTCAAAAAATAACTATTGATGCTGATTGCTTACCTCAAGCAAAATCCAACAAAGATTTTGTTTAGCACCATCACCAAAATTTAATAGCAAAATAAAGGTGAGTCCTAATTAGAGATTGTCCATTAGCACTGAAGGAATTTAAATATTGATGTCATTCCAAAAATGAAGTTGGAACATGCAAACATCCAGTCACACACTTTTTGGATCAGCTACCATTTCAGCCATAAGCAATAATGAGAAGAAAAAAATTATCTTCCACAGATTTTGTCCTTATAAGTGCAAAAATAAATTAACAGAAACATGTCCATCATGACCTACACGAGAATGATGAAGACTGCTTTAAAGAAGCATTAACTCAGCCAGTGGCCAGATCACCTGCATGTAAACATAGAAACCTTTGTTGACATTGTCATCTATGTGTATAGAACACTTTATTAAAAGATTCATTTTTAGCATAAAGTACAAGTTTAAGGAGGACGGAAATACTTGATACTTCATTCTGATCAGAAAGACATCCAAAGAGACTTTAAAATATACTTTATGCTGTTAGGAGTCTCATTTTCAATAACGGACATAAGGTTGTTACTTTGGAAAATCTGACAAAGGCCATAATGGGGGGTGGGGGTGGCGAGGGAGTTCTAGGTGCTATGTAAACTTGAAAATACATGGACTCAAACTCACTATCTTCTGCATGCTTACACCACTGTTACAGGTTGTGAAAGGCAGCAAATTGCCTACAGCCGTTGTCAGAAGGAACTACTATCCAGATTTTCCACAAAGAAATCTGTAGCATTTTCCTCCTTGAAACCAACACAAATGTCAGGTGATGCAAGTGTGTCACTTAAGAGTGAAATTGCCAATACCTCACTTCCAACTCTTTCTTCATTTACAAGTGATGTTTTTGGTGATATAGAAAAATAAACCAACGCTGCCTTTGACTGTTGCATAAAACTATTGTGATGTTGTTGTCCCCCCCCCCACTCCTCACATGCACACCTTCAACTAGAATGGAAAAAGCTACTTAAAATCAATAATCAATCTTGGCCACCAACATTGTTTACAAAGTCAATAGCAAGAATTAGAAAAAGAGCTTTCAACAGTTTCTTAAAGAGAAAGGAGACAAGTTCAAGTGGCAATTTGTTGATTGTTCATTCTTAACTGTCAGCCATGAACCTTATGACAAAAACTTTTACAACTACGAGTGGTCAATAGTTTTTATTTTTATTCAGTCTCCCATACATCTGGCTGGGGTGTGGTTTTCAGCATCTCCCATGTAACAATAGTTATCAAAGTCAGACCAATCTGTTCCCATTATACGAGCCTTATGCATAAGCCATGGAAATTGCACAAGTTACTGTTTTTTTTTTTTGTTTTTTTTTTTTTTTAAAAAGAAAAAAAAAGTTATTAAATTTCTTAAGGCTTGAACTCAATTTCCCTTACCAACTTATTTCCGGTTGCTCTTGATAAAGCCAATGAGTCCATTAGTGGAAGCATCATGTGAAGTGATGGTATCTTCACTACGAAGTTCAGGTTGAATTATTTTGGCAAAGGTCTTGCCAAGTTCAACACTAAAATAGAAAATATCAAAAGAATTCTTACAAAATCAGGGAATAGCAAAACAGCAGCAGCTTTCAAGAATACAATTTACAATGGAATTTCTTTAATAACATGAATCTTGAAAGATTCCCATGGTTAAAAAGATGAAAACATTTCACTAATTGAAAGTTAATCATTTCAGCCAAAACCTTATCCAACTTAAAAGAATCAGTTCTATGCAAATCAGACATTTGAGATTAATTGTATGTTTTCTGACAATTTCTTCTTATTTTCTTCTTCCTAGGGAAGAAGAAATTATGATTCAGTTTCTCAGCTATTGTTGAACTTTGATATCAGAAGACAAACAAAATGCTGCCTGAAGATTAAGAATTGTTGTTAAAAAGAAAAAAGGATGGAAAATCTGAAGTCAATCAACTCACCCCCATTGGTCATAGGAATTAATATCCCAGATTGTACCTTGTACAAAAATCTTGTGTTCATACATTGCTGAAAAGAAAGAATTTCAACAAAATTATAGAGAATAAAAAATGTGCACAACACGTGAGGCTATCAATATGTTTAACTTTATAAGTTCTTTTAAAATAGTCTCCTGACATTGAACCATAAGCCTCTTTTGCAAATAAATCAGTTTTTTATGAAGTGAGTAGTTCGAAGGTGCCTATGAAAGATTAACCCTACAAGAAAGTAAAGTCTGGGATGTACTGTAAAACTTTATATTGTTAGCTCCTATGCCTGCATGTCAAATAGGGCTTTTGTCAGATGTCATTGCACCCTCCCCACCAAACTTTGGAAATTATCTCATTTAAATAACAACACTTATGCAAAATAACATCAGGCTAATTTTTACTTTAAAAGTCAGTAATGATCTACATTAAATTAAATATTGATATGCAAAAGTGCTCTACAAATCTGTGCCCATACATTTAAAGATTAGTTAAGTATCTTGGTCAAACTATTTTCTGGTCAGTAGTCACAAAATACAGAATACAATTAGACTGACATTGAAAATGTTGTACAGTACATACACACAATACAATCCTTAAAGAAGACCGCAACACGAAAGACAGACCAAAAATGTAGAGAGAGAGCAAGAAAAAGAATTGCAATTGGATTTCCCTTGAAGTGATCTCAATCAAATCTTGACATTCACTGACAATAAAATTTCAAGTTTTCCAAAACACTAGAGAAATCTTACCAATTAAAGCTCCCAGCATGAATGGATTCAGTTGAGTGAATAAGATGGAGTTTGTTGGCTTGTTGCCTTCAAATACCTGAAGAAAAAAAACAATAACATTAAACAAGAAGTCGGGACACTGGAGACAAATGAATAAATAAAAACGGGGATAAATGCTAATTGTTATTTCCTAAAATCAAAGTTAAACAGATTCTTGTTCTTGGCAAAAAAATTTTATTCCAAATAAGTGAGTAAACAATCGGATGCAGTGGCTTATCAATTTTACAATCCAGGATCGTTCCAAAAACAAAGCAGTTTTTACCAGACTTTTCTGGAAGAATTATTCTTTCTATTCATCTTGGCCATTGGCCTCTTCAGCCTTCCTTATGTGCCAATTATACAAATCAACTCAGATCCCCCCCACCACCAACCAAATCTTTTATTGAATCCACACCATCTGATAAATTTTGATTAACAAAAAAAATAAAACAAGCACATTTGAAATATTTCACCAGTGTCAGAAAGGTGGCCTAATGGATTGGAATAAAGCAAAATCTGGTTGCATGACAGGAGTTCAATCCCTGAGGTCAGAACACAGAAGTAAAAATAGCCTTGGGATAATATTCTGCTTTTCATACTTAGAACAATCTACTGCCATGTATTGAATAAAGAGCTTCATTCAAATTTCCAAGAAAATTACTCAATACAAGGACAGGGTTTGAAGAAAGGTGAAAGAGACAAGGGTCAAAATATCAAGGAGAAATGGAAAATCCTATAATAAAAAGCAATCGTAAGTGGACAATCAAAAGTGGACAATCAAAAGTGGACAAAAAGGTTTTGATGCTAAACTTATTGAAAAAGGCTGACAAAATTCTATCTTGATTTCATTTTTAATTCATTCATTTTTAGCAAGAGCTCATCTGAAATCATTTCAATTTTATCCCAATTTGAAAATTCTATGACAAAAAGAGACTCATTGGCCATTTTGTAGAACAGATGCTCACTGACCTTGTGTGGTGAAATGATGCTCATCTTTTCTTCAGAAGCTCCTGTTTTTTTCAATTCTTCTAAAACTTCGGCTTTAGTTTTGCCTTTCATCAAAGCCTTTGTTTGAGCCAAGAAATTGGCTTGGAGAATCTGGGAGAGAAAAAAAGTCAAATGATCATAAAAGGTGTAACATAAATCTTAAATTGTCATTGTTTGAAATATCTGGAAATATTAAGTTTATTCACATTTTCAATTTTTTTAAAAATTTTATTTATTGCTAACAAAATTAAAAATTGTAAAAAATGTTTACCTCATGATGTAAACCATTCTGAATTGGATTATGTGTCTTAACTGGCATTAGGAAATCACATGGAATCAACCGAGTACCTGTTAAAAAAAAAGTACAAGATAGTATTTTAAAACGTTTCTCTTTCAGGAAGACAAAACAATATTAAAAAGAAAGACATCATGCAAAAATTAATCAAAATTCCACTGAAAATTAGTTGAAATATAATCCTAAAGGACTGGGTGGTTGCTGCTGCTGCACATTTTTGTTTATCTGTTATTTTTGGTTTCAGCACTACCAAAAATATAGTATTGTTGGAATTGTCTCTCTTAGCAGGTTTTTTTTTTTTATATCTTCATGGTCATTACATGTAGACATTGGCAAGATGGGAGGTAATCAGATTCAGCGGTCATGATTTTGCAGACATTTCAGGTGTGAAATCCTCATGACCATGGTAACTTTTTTACTGAAAAAAAATTTCAAGTCACAAACCTACAAATTATATTGACATCTATAATGGGTTTAATTATAGCATAATGAAGAATTTAAAAGTAAATAATGAGTAAAGAATTATTATTCTTTATATGTAGCTTGGCTGATAGTCTTTCAGCAGGAAAATTATTCTAGTAGTAATTGGCAATAAATGGAAAGACCTCAGAGCAGCAACTAGAAGGAGGATTAACATTGAATTGTGCGTTGGGGGGGTATACAAGAATTTCAAAAACCTTTTGCATTGAAAACCAGATGCCCCTTGGACTTGGTAAGCTATAAACTTTTTTTGTTTGATAGTATTTGAAATAAACATAGCAAGAATTGTTTTGGAATTTGAAAAATTCCAGATCATAAATCTTGCCATATTGTGGTGGGAGTACAATAACCCTATCAACATGCAATTGTGACCCTAACAGACTGAAACCCTGTTCAACTTGATTCGGTTCAAACAATTCACATAAAAAAAAAAAAAAAAAAAAATAAATAATGGCAACAAAATAATCGTGGGTACATTTAAGAATTTTCCCCATGATGAAATACCTTGATGAATAAGTTGGTAAAAGGCATGCTGTCCATTGGTGCCAGGTTCTCCCCACACAATGGGTCCAGTGGAGTACTTGACCCGTTCTCCACTACGGGTGACATATTTCCCATTGCTCTCCATGTCACCTTGTTGGAAGTAGGCAGCAAACCGATGCATGTACTGGAAGGGGAAAGTTCCAAGAATAAATCCAAAGCAACACAAAATGGAAACACAAAGAAAATAAGTTGTTTTGTCAACACAATTGAAGCAGAAAACAAGTGCAAAGAAACTGAATAAAAATAAAAAAAAATTAGCAGCAGGAAGAATCCTTTTTACCTTCAATCAGCATGGCTGATGCTAACCTCCAGGTAGGTGCACCTTTTCAGACTAACATTTTCAACTGACATGAAGTGGAAAGACTATATATAATCAATTGCTAGGTCTGCTGCTAAGAAAGTTGATTCCCTGTGTTGTGCAAGACAATTTTATCAACAGAATCCATTTTACATGCAAGTTACATTGAATATTGCTGGTCTAGTGCTCCTGGTATATATTTAGAAATTCTTGATAAAATCCAAAGAAGAATCTGCAATGTTATTGGTCCTCTGCTTCAGTCTATCATCACTGCAATGTAGCTTCCCTGTGCCTTTTCTAGAAATACTATCATGGTAACTATTTACATTGGACACAGACCAATTGACAAAAGTATTGGTTGAAGTAATCCAGTTACTTGACCCAAAGAGTTATGAGTTCAATACTTGGTCACAGCAGAAACAAACAAAAACAGAGTTTAGTTACTAAGGGGGGAAATAAGTAACTTGAGCTATCCAGAAGGAACAGCCTACCCATGTGGATGAAATAAAGGGTTCAATTTGAAATTCCAACATATATCACCTGTAGAAGGCCAGAGTGTACAACGGCCAAAACATTGTGAATATGACAAAGATGAGAACAATAGTCCGAATAGTGTAAATAGTTATGTTGTAGCATAGGGAAAGTTATTGAATAATCAAATGAAGGTTGGTAATGAATGATAATACTTAGGACAAGAACAACACATATAAGATTCTCTAGCAGTATGTAGAAGTAGAAGTCAACTGTTAGAAGAGAGTCAAGTGAATTCTACAATGAATCTCCAACTGCAGGATATCTACTAACCGCCCCACATGGTCAGATGTCGCACAAGGCTGAATTTATTGTGTGGTATCAGAGCCAATAGGCTTGGCAAAAAAATTCCCTGTAGACTTCATATAAAATGAGGTAGAGTAGCTGTTTCCCCGAGTCAACTGCCCTTTGACATAGCCACGACTGGGGATCCTCTCTGCCCAGAGGCAGAGATTTTGACCAGCACAGTTGGAGACAAATCTCCAACAGAAGACCAACATACAGTATTTACTACTGTATTTATATGAATGGAGACATACCCATTATCTTCTTTAGGTATGCTACAACAAATTACAATACCTCAGCTCAGAAATATAGACAGATACTATCATGGTAATTATTCTGATAAACTTTCCTCTATGGTACACAGACTTTAAGAATATAAGCACAGTACCAGATTGGCAGCAAAGTCTCATTATTTTACAGTTGAAATGGCTGGATGTAATCTTACATTTTATACTAACAGTTTCTTCTCTTGCACTTGTGGAACTATTCTGGCTTCTCAACTTTCCAGTCAAATTTGAGCTTCAATAATTTAAATGCAATGTCAATTGTTATCTACTGTCTTAAGTCTTGTTCTTTTTAATGTTCTCTCTCATTAAGTGTTTCTTCTCATTTTCTAACACTCAGTAACCTCTTGTGTCTTAGTGGCTTTATTGCCTTGCTTGGGGATGAAAGGATAAGAAAAAATGACAAAGATGTGTTTTTTGGTGGGCAAGGAGCATAGAAAATGGGATCTAAATTGAATTGGAATTTTGTCCAAGTTTAAAGTGGTATCTTCTACCTAAATTGTGTGTGGGTGTATGTTTTAGACAAATATATTTCTTATTTGTACCACTACCAAATATATGAACAAAAGTTCTCATCACTGGCAGCCACCATGCTTTAAACAAATGGAAATCAAAAAGTGGGCATTTTGGAAAAGCCACGTCCTCATAGCTACCTTATCTGCTCAGGTAGTAGTAGTAGCAAGAAGCTACTGCAGTAAACCTTGACAGGGGAGGGTGATGAACTTTTTTTATCCTTTGTATAGTAGTTAATAGATAAAGTTGAAAGAGAAGTCACTAAGTTTCTCAGATATCTTGTTTCACTCATCAGGGTAACAAATTGCATTTAAAATATGTTAAATACAAAAAAAGAAAAAAAAACCCAAAATATTATTATTCTTATTTTTTAGCATGATAAAACAATGTAAACCAGTAACATTTAAACTTTAATATCTCCTTCCCAAACCAACATTCAATTTCATGCAATCAACTTGACTAGTTAACTTGGTTACTTTGATTAAATGAGTTGGAGGAAAAAAAAAAAAAAAAAAAAAAAGACTCACCTGATCATAAGGCAGCAGACAGTGAGATTCAGCATTAAAGAAATTGTGGTACCAAATACCCAGCAGGGCCAATATCACTGGCATCTGTTGAAAAGCAATTTAAACAGATTTATTTCTCTAGACAACAAACTAAATTTAAAGATAAAAAACAATTTGTAATAAATTTGTCTTACATTTTTCTCCAAAGGAGCTGAACAGAAATGATTGTCCATAAAATGAGCTCCTGCAAGAAGCTCCTCAAATTTATCCATTCCTACAAAAAGAAAAAAAGTTAATCATTGCAGCAAAAAACAAAAAATAGTTTTGTATTTGTTTCATGAAAACATTTGAGGACATAAGTGTTTCACTCAATCCTGTTTCTCCTTGCACATTATAATTGGTACTTTATATCTTTATTGTACTTTAAAATCAGATGGTTAAATACTTCAGCCTTTTTCTTGTCATATGACAGACATGTTTACGTCTTCCTTTCAGTTGACAATTCTTATTTCTATTACTTAGAAACGATGGACTTATTTTTATTAATAGGAGCTATTTTGGGGATTTTAAAACTTACTAGTGAATAAACTATATCTCCAACAAAATATCTGTCTTATTAAAATGTATTTTGAAGTTCTCTTGTATGACATTTCCAGATATACCTAAATTTTGTTTTTTATTCCCCCTCCCCACAATGTTTATGAATAAAAACCTATGCAGAAAAGATCAAAGACTATTTTAACTGAATCCAATTTTATGAGACATTCATCTGTTAAATAAATAAACCCATCAATATTGAAGATTTTCTTGTAAATCAAAGATAAAATTATTTGGTCTTTAATGATTCCCACATTAAAATGTTTCAAGTATTGAATGTATGTTTAATAAACAATTTGTCAGAATTACAAATTCCAGAATGTTCTCTTACATTAACAAAACAATTTCAAAAGAAATGCCTTACCAATGAAGAGAGCAATAGAGAGACCAATAGCTGACCACAGAGAATATCTACCACCAACCCACTGCAAGGAAAAAAGAAAAACATATTACAGGGAAATAGAATTTCACATTATGATAAAGACTTTCATCTTTTCTTCAGACATTTTCCTATTAAGTTTTATTGCAGCATCAACTGGAAACTTTAAACAGTGATTATTTAGTGAATTCAAGTAGCAAAAATTTAAAAAAAATAAAATAAACAAGCCTAAAAGTGATTTAAAGAGTTGAATATAAATTTCATTATTTAAGAATCCTTATGCACTATTAAGTATTTTCTTTCATTTTTGGTCCAGTTATCTAAAATGGAAATTTTTTTTTTTTTTTTTGATAGTGATTTTTTTTTTTGTGGAAAGGGATTTTCAGAATATTGCAATTATTTGAAATGATATACTTACATCCCAGAATTCAAACATATTTTTTTCATCAATTCCAAAATCTTTAACCAATTTCTAAAAAGAAAATAAATTAATTTTTATTGCAGAAATCTAATATGGATTCAAATTTAATAAAAAATATTGAACAAAAGTGCAAAGAATTAGAAAAAGGAAATGAGATTTCATTGTTTTTCTTCAAAGGAAAAGCATTTTCATCAAGTCATTCAATATTTACTGCGCAAAGGTACGATTATCACTTTTGAATATTTGATAAGAAGAATTTGTTAAACTATCAACTTTGTCTTGTTAGTTTAAAATATGAAATGAGAAACACTTACAGCATTGGTCGATAATGCCACAAAATGTTTGGCCACATGATTTGTCTGTAATTCAAACAGATAAAATTTTAATCACAAGTGACTGTCAGGTTGGATTGTGGGGAGGGGTTGTTGTATGTTGGTTATTAGGCACAAAGTGTTAATATTATAGAAAAGAGGGGAGGGGGAAATGTTTTTGGATGTTAGAGGATTGGGCATCTGTAAGAAGAAAAAAAAAAAACAGCAAGACATTTTGTAAACATTCTGAAAAGATCTGCAAGGGAATTTATGTTAAGCATTTTTACAGTTAGCCATTTATCCCCACCCCCAACTTCTAGCAATTCTTAGTTATAAATTACAAAGATGGCTAAAGGATAAAATTTTTTTCAGTCATGAACTTAGAAAGGGTGGGAGATATTGTCTACAAATGGATTTTAAGACTTTCATTTATACTAGAAAAGATCATAAGAGGTAAGCAGAAAATAAGTCTAAACAGCAAACTTATTAGGATTCAGACAATACAAACTGAATCAATTGGCTAAAAGCAGATATAGTTAATATTACAACCTTATAAAGAAAAAGCAAAGAGACAACACTGACCAATATCTTTTGAACTTCATTTAGATTAAATTGTAAAATAACTAATTCTAAAATAAAGAATATTTATCCAAAGAATATTTGAAGTTCAAAAACATTTTAAATCCATCCGAGATGATGAAAACAATTGTGTACAAGTTGATGAATGGGTTGGGATTTGCAGGCCTTTTTCATGAGCAAAAATGTTAAAAAGGTCACACTGAACAGAGACATGCATTTGTAGTTTGGCTATCTACACAGCTATTTTGTGATTTCTGTCTATTTAGGTTAAATGAAGATTGGCAATGTGATTGGATCAAAAAGCCAATTACTGACATTTATAAGTTTCTAAAAGAAAAAAAAAAAAAAAAAAAAAAAAAAACAAGATGTGTTAATGAACAGTGAAAGCAAATGTACACAGGGGGGGTGCAAAATACAAGAATATATGCGATGCATCTATTTCTAATGTTTGTAATATTAAAGAAAAAAATATATTCTTGCTTAGATGCCAAATTTATAATTTGTCAAAACAAAAATTTCAAATTTTCATTTGAATCTTAAACCTTTTCTGATGTATTGTTATGTGATGCTTTAAATGAAAATGTTTGACATTTCCTTCAAATGACTTACCAATGCATATGATAACTGACATTTTGTTTAGAATAATGAGATTTGAAACACTTAGTAAACAAAGTGCATTTCAAAGTGAAACACCAAGTCAGTCAAGAAAATTGATAAAAAAACAGAGTAAAGCAAAGTGAATAAATGTTTTTAGTATTTGTTAAATTCTTACTGAAATGATACCAACAGAATGGGAGTTGGTTTTTATTATTATTCACCACAGACTAACAGAAGCATTTACACTTTTTCCCCAATCAGCTAAAAATGGTTTTTCCCACCTAGATAAATTTTATTACGTGCAGAAACAAATCTCTTGTATATAATTGCATACATTAAATATAGAAATGTATATTTCAGTGACATTTGTGTTTAACTTTAGTTTTGATCATTCATCATGAAGGCAGCTTCAGACAGACATTGCAAAATGACACCAATTAATTGACGCTGTTCTAAGAATGATGTCAATAAGTATGTTATCATGACTTTCTACTCCCTACTATGCGATTCCTTCTTTTTCTTTTAATTGTAAAGTCAATACCAAATATAAGACAGACACCAAAAACCTTATACTTAATACAATATATAAATACACAATAAATATACAGTACATCATTCTCGCATACATACATCCATGTCCCATCACTGCATGCACAGAACAAGACAATGTGTATGGAAAAAAAAAAAAAAAAAAAAAAAAAAGTCAAAATAGTTGGCAATGGGACAGGGAAATTTGGGTCCATGCTTTTTTCCAAAGACTATAATACAAGATGACACTAATATGAAGAAACCCAAAATTAAAAGGATTGTTAATTTTCTGATATCCCACATCACTTATCTCTCCAAAGATGATATTGGATTAAAATTGTTCAAGATGAGCACAAATAACAAATCCTTGAGACATGCACAATAGTTGAAAAGTTATTTTGTGCTTTACACAACTAGAAAATTAGTTACTCAAGAGAAATTTCTTAAATCAAACAATTCTTGTATTACTACTAAAGATATGTTCTCATTATACAAGACTGACCACATTAAATAGGATTTTTTCCCTAAACCCATTTCAACATGGAGGATGTACTAATGACCTACAACACTGTCTATTTCATGTTAAGGAAGGAGTAATCTACAAAGAGCCGGGGTGGCTTAGCTTTCCCAGAGCCTGATACACTTATCCCAGTGTCCCTTTGACATTTCAAAATAGTCTGTAACTTCCCGATTTGAGCTTTTGGAAAAGTCAGACATTGTAGGGAGCCAAATATAACAGAGCTGAGAGATGCAAAGAACAACACCCACAAAAGACATGAACAATAGGTAGTCATGGTTAAATTAAAAATGCCTGGACACTTTCCACACAAACCATGAAATCCTCCCAATCGTTTGTCTAATTCTTGCATTGTCAATTGTTGATATTTTTCTTCTACAACTGCAGCCTATATACATTCACCATCTTTGAATGTTCTACTTGTTGAAGGCCTTCCCAAATGTGGATCACTTTCAATGGATTCCACAGTCAAGTTTAAAGTGTCCATACAAAAAGCTCTCTGGGATTCATTCATTGAATTGTTGCCAAAAAGAATTAACAAGATAGAGTTCAAGCAATTTACAACATTTACAAAGCTAAAGTATTTACCTGTTAACCATTTTCTTCAAACAATAATACTAAGTAGGTAATATGAAATACTCAACAACCTTAATATTTTTTAAATTACTTTTTTATTGTGATAATAGAAGGCATGAAATTAAACAGTTTTACTTTCTATTTTTAAGAGTGAAGGCTTTCATTCATTTTCTGGAAAGTAGAAGATACACAATATGTAAAAAAACTATTGTAAATAGTTTTTTTTAAAAGTTCAATGCTAAAATATTGGCTTTTCTATTTGTTCTAATCCAATACAAGTAACATTAATGTGGTCATGTATATATGAACTTCATAAGCCTTTTGAATGTCTAATTTATATTTGGAGAGAGTGCTCAAAATTCATAAATTACCAGCCTACTTAACATCTTTATATTTCCATCTTCCATATGCCTTGGAGGAATGCAAAGACTAAACCCACATTGGAAGCTATTAAGACATGGCACCATAAAATCTTCCGTTCATATTTATCAGATATGTGGGGATGTACATTTATTACTCTAAACATTTTGCTCTGGCAGGATTTGAATGTACACTCTCCCAACATTGTAGGGGAAACCACCATCTGATTTGGCTGAGAAGTCTAAAGCACGCTCAGTCAGATGTTTGTTTCCCCATACAAAGGGGAGGCATGTTCAAACACTGCTTGAGGACACATTTAGAGCAATAAGAAATAATGTCAGATTAAAAATAAAATCCATTAAGTACTTTTTATTTTAATGTGTGCATATTCCATTATGCAAAAACTGGAGTTTAAACTTTGTATATATAATTATCAAAATTTCCAGCAAAGTTTAAAACTGAACCAGCCAAAAAAGTGTCAAAAGTGGTTGGTCTGCTGACACTACAGAGACAATATATATATATATATTTTCAGTTTTATGTGTTCTGTTTTACTAAGATTCTAAAAATAGCCTTTTTAAGACAATAAAAATTACTAAGGGATTATTCAGTAATAGCAGTGACAAGAGAAAAGTATTCTTTTGACACTGGTCAAATGTTAAACTTTGCCAAATTTCCTGTCAAATATCAGAAACTTTTTTCAAGAGAAAGTACTAGGGATATTTAATATTTAGTTTCCTAAATAATTATCTACACATACACAAAATCTGATGCCTTGTAAACATTAAAATGTTTTACTCCCTTTTTAAGACCAGATCTTCTAGAAGAATAAAGATGTTTATTACCAAGAGTTTTACACAATACTTAAATGTTACACAGGATTTGTACATTTTGACCAAATTTCTAAGAAAAATAAAGAATCATAGCAAAACTTAAATCTGAAAGACAAATAGATAGCCTAGTATTTGTACTAAAGTCATGATAGAGTATGATGTCAATGTAAACTTGAATTTAATAAGTTATACTCTTATGCAAGGTCAAGCATATTGCAGATGTCAGTTTCTATGAAATGCTGTTTGCTTGTATATAGAAATTTCCCATATCCTATGTGGTCAGTTAAAAAAAAAAAAAAAAAACCCTCAAAAGTTACATAAATTGAACATGGGATTGGAAACTAGAAAAGATGGAAGACCGATGTATTAGACATTATTTGAGGAGGAGTAGGGGGGGGGATGATGAATCATTTCATTATTTAATGAATTTAATAAGAGGAAAAAAGTGAAGTTGCTTCAAAATAGTTGAATATTTTTGGTTACTTAAGAACCAATTCCAGTCTTCTGAAAGGATGGATAAAAAGCAGGGCAAGAGTAAAACAAGCAATAACTGGAAACAAATCAAAAGCAACAAGATCAATGAACAATGAAGAAAAAAAAAATAAAAAAAGGTTATCATGGCGAACCCTGTCAACAGCAGGTATACAGCATTTCAGTATTCCACCACCAACAGGCTGGAAAGAAGAAAGGGAACATTCACTTTCTTCAGTTATTACACTAGACTGACCAACTCAAAGAGACAATATCGTTTTGGGAGGTTTTTAAATTAAATCTTCCACTAAAAAAATCTCAGAATATTTTTGTACAATGTTAAATAAATTGAATTTATTGGAAAAAAAAAAAAAAAAAAAAAAAAAAAAAAAACTAACTACATTAAACAAATAACATGAAAATCTGTTAATAGGGTTAGGTTATTTATTAAAATTATAATTTGAAGACAAAGTGATTTTCAACTAAGAAAATTCAAACATTTCAAAAATCATTATTTTCATAAAGAAGCATTGCCATTCTATGCTAAGTTGTAAATTTAATCAAAGATTCTAATGAAAGCTCCAAGGGTCAATGAGTTAAAATCAAATTTTTAAATTCATCAAAAGCTGGATTTAGTGTAGCCTAAGAAATATTACAAGCAAAAATAAATGCAAAAAGGGAAGAGGAATTATTTGATAAACTCAATAAAGATGGGTGGGGGAAGCATCAATAAAACAGTAAAAACGGTTTCTTATTGTTGACAAAAAGTGACAAATTTTGAAAATTATTTTGGTATGAGAAATTAATTATAAATATTAAAAATTTTAAAATTAAAAAAAATCTTAGTCCTAAAGTACCATGCAACTAATCTAAAACTTTATTTTTGGGGGTAAATACTATATTAATGAGATTTTAAATCGAGATAAACAAGAGAAAAATATATTTGATGGGGGTTCCAAGAAGACTTTCACACTGCCACTCATGAAAAGAAAAAAAAAATCTTTGGTTTTATATGCAAATTTGGGTTCTCTGTAAATTAATGTTTACCCAGGCATCCCAGATTACCCATATTTGTACCATGACTAAATGCAGAACACTGTAAATATTAAATTTAAAATGGTGGAGTCTTAAATGCCATCAAATATGGCATCATTTTGGATGGGATGGAAGCTTTCCACCAAGAGGGTTTTTATTAGTTCTTATCTAAAGGCAGAGTATTGAATAAGGCTTCTAAAATCCTTCAAAAGTATCAAACTTTATTTAACCTTTTAGACTTTCTATTCAAAAAGTTCATAAATGCAAATTCAAAGTTATTTATAAACAGAACAAATTTACCTCAGTGTTTATAGCTTTTTACTCTGAAAGATTTTCCAATTAAAATTCAATCAATTGACTATCAATGGTTGATCATAGTGAAAAGTAAAACAATCTATCAGAGATTTAGACATCATTTCAATTCAAAGATGGTAACAACATGTTATGAACAGAAAGAATTAATTATTTAGCAGCAAAATAAGAATTTGTGTTACATTTTTTTTTGGTTAAGTTCTATTTTATTTTAATCCACATTTCAAAGCAAAAAGATTAAAAATATTCTGAAATTTTATATTCCCTAAATTTAAAATTAGTTTTGTACTGAAAACATTAAATAAATGCATTTTGGATTTTTTTTTTTTTTTCAAATATAAAACAAAGCCCAAAATCTTTAAAGTTTTACTTTGGAAAAAATTGTAATTTTTTTTTTTTATTTAATTTGCATTGAAGATGTATAAAAAAAAAAAAAAAAAAAAATCTAATCAAATGACTGGTGCAAAATTGCAGAAGAAAAACTGCATTGTAAATTATTTTATCATATTTTTATCTAAAAGATTGGCTTACCTCCTTCACATGTTCCAGAAACCATTCTTTAGCAGAATTAGCATTTGTAATAGTTTCTTGAGTTGTGAACGTCTACAAAAGAAAAAAGCGGCTTAAAAATAAATGAAACAAATTTTCTTCAAGTTATTGAGGTTAGTTTTCAGACGATTCAAAATCAGTCAAGAAATACTATATTATGTACAACTAATATGCAAACAATTCCCCCCCCCCATTAAAATGCTCAGATTTCAGTTGAGTGGTAAGTTAGTCTTGAATAAGTTTTTCAGATTTCAGTATGAATCTTATTATAAAACGCAGAGTGTGTGTGTGTGTGTGTGTGTGTGTGTGACGTTTATATATTGGATCAGATTTCCTACATTCAACCGATTTCAACAAAACTTCACAGGACTACATAAAATTACCTTGTGGTGGTTCTAACAGCGCCAAAAATGGGAAAAATCTAATTGTTTTTGCACAAAATCAATTTGAAAACACGATTAAGAGACATCGTGAAAATGGAAGGGGGACAACTCACATCGGGTTGTTTGTGTGTGTGTGTGTGTGAGTTACTTTAAATATGGGAGCGGATTTCCTATATTTTTCAGCCGATAAAACAAAACTTCACTTTTTTTTTTTGGCAGGTAGTGTTTCTTATTCTCTTGCACACTTTTTTCTTTATTTTTAACATTCAGAATGCTTTAAAAATTCCATTTACAAGACAAATTATTTATAATAAAATTCTATTCAATCAGTAGACTCATAACGATTGAAAACAATGTTTTTGTTTGAGTTTGACCAATTCGTAAAAAATAAAAAACAAAAAAAACTAATTAAGACATGCGTGTCCGTCAACCTTAAACAATAATCTAACAATCTCTACTGAGTGTACGAATACAAACATCGGATAAATTCTTTATCTTTAGGGAAAGATAATGAAATCTAAACATACACAAGTCCTAACTAAAAATAATAACCGAACGGGAAACTACTTTAAATACACATGGTGTCCAATTTTTTACTGCATTCAATAAGTAAAAATCATAAATTGTAAAAGATTATTATTACAGAAAGGCTACTAAATGATTAAGATTTGTTAGATCATAATTAATAAACCCAAATAAAGTTAATATTTTTGTATTAGAAACAACGAGTGGAAAATATATTCAAATCAGAATTCTAATTATGAATCACCACAAGCTAAATATGCAATTTTTTTTACTGTATTCAATAAGTAAAAATCATAAATTGTAAAACTAAAAGATTACAGAAAGGCTACCTACATTTTTCAACAGATTTCAACTTTACTTTTTTTTTTTGGCATGTAGTGTTTCTTATTGTCTTGCACACTTTTTTCTTTATTTTTACATTCAGAATGCTTTAAAAATTCCATTTACAAGACAATTGTTTATAAAATTATTCTATTCAATCGGGAGACTCCTAACGATTGAAAACAATGTTTTTGTTTGAGTTTGACCAATTCCTAAAAAAAAAAAAAAAAAACTAATTAAGACATGCGTGTCCGTCAACCTTAAACAATAATCTTTGTCAATTTTATTTTTCAGTCTTTATGATGGTGGATACTTGATCTATCTCTTACTGTTATATACCCAGGCAACGCCGGGCTCTACTGCTAGTACTTTAATATTCCCCACTATCTCTTTATACAGACAAACAGAGTGAACAAGACTTACCTTTGATGCAATAATGAACAAAGTAGTTTCAGCATCTAATTTCTTCAGAGTTTTAGCCAGATGAGTCCCATCAATATTAGAGACAAAATGGACATTAGGACCAATCTGATAGGGTTGAAGGGCTTCAGTGACCATTAAAGGACCCTGGAAACAAAAATTATTGGCTCATTTTTAAAGATTTTTTTTTTTTTTTTAAATGTAAAAGAAAAAAAAAATAGATAAAGAGTATGCAGAGAAATGTTTACCAGATCAGAGCCTCCAATGCCGATATTGACAACATCAGTGATTGGTTTGCCTGTGTAACCTTTCCATTGTTTTTGAATGACACTGTCAGTGAACTCTCTCATATGTTGGAGGACAGCTTTGATGCCAGGCATCACCTGCAGAAATGTTCACAAGAATATCACTTAACCTTTGTTAGTTTAAGACATTTTCATAAACAGTAGAAATCTCAAGAAATTTTCTTTTTTATAATTATGAGAGAATGAAGGCTGAAAAAGAAAGTCTCTCAGTCATCAAATGATTCATGGAGAGACTCAACTATTTTTATATCAGGAACTCAGAATATTAAAAATGTACATTTTCTTTTTCTTTTATTACTACTAAAAGTAATCATTAAATTTTAAGAGTATAATATTTTACATGCAAACTTACATCTGTCCCTTCAACATGCATGGGTTTGTCAGATCGATTACGCAAGGCAACATGAAAGACTGCCCGACTTTCTGTAAAGTTGATCTTATCACCATTAAACATGGCATCTCTCATCTCAATAACTTTACGTGCTTTGGCCTGGAATAGATAAAGAAAGAAAAAGGAAAAAATTGCAGACGATTGTAAAAACAGTAAATTACATTAATGTTTATCTTAGAAATCCTAGAAATTTTGTACTGGAATTGTACATTTAAAATAAATATATGTTGTGGTATATTCTATTCATTATGGTCAATAAATCCCAATTAAAATAAATAGTGAGCATATATATATATATATATTATATATAAATAAAGGTGCGGAGGCAGCATTAGCACTAAAAGTTTTGCTTGTTTTTTTTTCATGAAGGAGTTCAACTAATTTTATGAAACCTGGTATATATTATTATCATGAGCTTGCATAATAATTAATCATTTTGTTCAGATAACTGTAATAGAGGAGTGTTGAGGAAGGCAAACATGAGGAAATACACACACTATATATATATATATATATATATATATATATATATACAGATACACACAAAATACATATGTAAAAACATACTATATATATATATATATATATATATATACACACACACACACACACACACACTTGGGGCACCTCGAGGTGGTGTAATGGTTAGCAAGCTTGTCTCGCTAGAACAATTACAAATGAGTCGTGAGTTCGATCCTCACTGGGTGTCCCATACTTTCGGCCTTGTGCCACATCTAAGCTACGCTTGGAAAATCACTACACACACACACACACACACTTCCTATGTTGTGTGTGTGTGTGTGTGTGTGTGTGTGTGTGTGTGTGTGTGTGTGTGTGTGTGTATATATATATATATATATATATTCTCTCCATAGATACTTGTGTATAAGGTACAACCAGTGTATTTGGCCATTATGTGTGTTTGTGTTTAGGGTTGATCAGTTCAGTGCTGTTTTAAATTTGTTTATGAAGTTTTTTCTTGTATTTGTAGGTAAGAATAATTGTCTATTTGATATATTCACATAACTTTAAATTTATCTTGATTATATTTGTAGATGTGATACAAAATGCAAAAAGTCCTTATAGGGGTATCAGCCAAGCACTAAACAAGTTTCTCCAAGTCAGCTTTAAATTTTTTTACACTCCACTTGTTATGCATGACAATACTGATATACATTTCCATTTATGGAAATGTAGTCAAGCATGCACAGTTAAATTTTTATCATTTCATCCTAAGCAGATGATAAAGTCACTAAGAAGCTAGGGGTTTACAGAGAATGAAACTGAGAAAACTTTGTGGTGAAAGAACTACAGGTTTCAGAAAGAGGTGACAGATGGAAACTTAAACCAGAATTCATTGTTACATCTAGCAATTTCCACAGTAAAATCATGAGATTTTGTTGCCAATATAGTACCACATATATATAGGTATATATAAATAAAAATGTGACATACCAATTCCAGAAGCTTGCTCATGGTTGTTTGATCCAATATATTTTTGGAATAATCCAACATCAGATTTCCATGGTTACTTTCCAGTGACACACTTAAAAGAAAAAATTGTATAAAGAAAGGCTATTTAAGATTTCAGACCATTTGGCATTTCATTTTTAATAACAATGAAAACTCAATAGTCAATTTATAATTCTAGTCAGTCTGTTAGTTTTAAATGTTAGGCAGAGTTCTAAGTAATTTCTGCTTTTGAGAACCAATTGTAATCTCAACTGAATCATCCTAGCTAAGCACTTGTAGCAGTTAAGAACAAATTTAGAGGTACATTAACAGGTCTTCATTGTTGCACAACAACATGCATAGGGGATTAAAGGGGAAATGTTGCCCTCTCCTATGACAATGAAAAACAGCATACAACACAAGAAAAATAACACAGGAAAATCATTTTGGAAAGTTGGTCTGTTTTGCTCGACCCACAATATTCACCAGACTTTGCACCAACCGATTCTTAAGGATTTTTCCTTTTTGCAAAATATTAATAGAAACAACTTTCTGTAATGAAAACCAGATTCAAGAATTTGTTGCAATCTTTTTCAAATTAAAACCTGCAGAATTTTATTTGAATATATCAAAGAGCTGTCTAACAAGTGGCAACAAGTCATTACAAATAATGGCGAATCTATAATTGAACAAAATGTTGACTGTAGTTGGGATTGTTGAATCAAAGCAAACAATCCTTTCCTTAGCTGTATAGTATGTGCTTTGCCAGGGCGACATACAGTTTTGAATTCAGAGTTTTCCTTCTGTGACTGGTTGCCACTAAAGGCTATAGAACCCAGTCTGTCTTATATTATCCATAGCTTTGAAGAGTTAGCTACATACCTTTCCCAAGAGTATTGGCACATAAATGAATGTAATGAACTCAACTGGAATTTGAACTTGTCTCTCCGTTCCACAATCTTTGCCGTAATGTAATTGTACTTTATTTTTGAAGAAGAATAAACAGAAATTATTTGTGACTCAATCAAATCCTGCAAGCCAAAATATGGATATAAAACCTAAGATTATTAACAAAATATTCTCTAAATTCTCTAAGTGCAATACGCTTTACAATCTGTGACTAATAGGTACAAGAATAAAAGACTAATATCACTGTTACATACCAAAATGACCATGTCATTTTCTTGAGACCATTACTTATTTTGACTTCATGAAAAGGAATCATAAATGATTACTTATATTAATTATCTGTTATTAGAGAACAATTGTCATTAGCTTATAGTATCTATACTGATACACCAAAAGACATAGGATAGGTTCAGTGAAAGGGAGGAACTTAATGTGGTACTAATTTCATAAGTGATTAGTTTTTTTTTGTTTTTTTTAGAGAGATATATAAAATGTCCCCACAATTCTAGCAATTGAATCTCATCTATCTGGTAACCACTATTATGCCCTGTTTTGTTTTTTTTACTCATTTCACTTCAAGAAAGGCAATAATTCCACTAAGACAAGATGTCCCTAACAGAGAAAGAGAATGAGAAACATGTAGAGGAAGACCAATAAAAGAACAGGATTCAGGAAGACAAAAGATGACAATTGAGATTGCATTTAAACCTTTGAAGATTGTAGGGGTTGGGAAGAAAAAGAAAAAGAAAAAAAAACAGAAGCGAGTTCTACAGGTGAGAAATACAAGAAAAACTATTCGAAATTATTATTATATCTAGCTATTTCAACAGTAAAACAATAAGACCTAGTAGCTAATCTAGGAGTAGGTTTAAATTCATGTGGTCAAGGTATCAAGGAGAAGAGCTCATTAGAAAAACTGGCATGAAAATATTCACAGAAAAGACAGAGAAAGGTCACATCATGGTAGTGAGCAAGTGACTGACATTGAGATGCCAGGTCAAGACATAACATTACAGACTCTTCTTTTGATTTTGTTGAGATTCTCTAAATATACAGCCGGAGCACCAGACCAGTTATGGTAGCAATATTCAAAACAAACAAATAATAGATTTATAAATGTGCAAGAACGATTCTAACAAGAAATATTGTCTGGCATGACACAATGAACCAATGTTTCTAGCAAATCTAGCAACTGATTAAATATAATTGCTCCACTTCATGTCAGTAGAAAATGTGAGACCAGGGCACAAGGAATTGCTCTCCTGGAAGTTAGCATCAGCCAGCTGATGGAGAGAAAAATGCTTATTAATGATACTTAAAAAAGATACTTTCATTTGGAGGCATTAAAATTTACAAGCCATTTCTTGCCCCAGTTAACAACTGATTGGAGGTCATTTTTGAGAGCAGTTGCCAATTTTAATTTGTCAGACTTATTGGACCTACAATTAAGACAAGAGTAAATAGTAACAAATACCTAATTGGGAATTGATGAAGGTTGTTGAAGATAAGAAACTATGTAGGTCCAAGGATTGAGCGCTGGAGGACCACCACAATAATGTGAAATTATCTAGAAGTGTGGTCATTCAACACAATCCAGTCATTCTTAACAAATCTGGTAATGAAGGTTAAGTTAAATATTTGGCCAGAGACACCATAAGCCTTGAGCTTGTGGAGAAGGCCAGCATGCCAAACACTTTAGAGATATCTAAAGCCACAGCCTTGAACCCTGCTATTCTTATCTATAGTCTGATAAACAAATTCAGTAATAACCATTAACACCATTGATGATTGACCTAGAGAAATGACAGCCATATTGTTTATCTGAAAGGTCATGTGAAGTGAGATACTTAATTCAGAGTTGATTAAAGAGTCTAGTACTTTGCCAAAAAGAGGGAAATTACTAATAGGATGAAAATTTGAGGGATCAGGTTTTTCAGAGTTCTTAAAGACAGGAACTACAGAAGATTTCCAACAAGCTAGGAAGCAAGAAGCAGCAAGGCATTTATTGTAGAGTTTGGAGAGCACAATAGAACATTTCCTTAGGACAATTGCAGGAGTACCGTCAGGTCTGCAAGCCCTTTTGAGGATCTAGTTTGGAGATGATAGAAAACATGGATGGAGTTAGGTTAATGTCCCTGAGTAGGGATTCAGTTCTAGGAAAAAAAAAAAAAAATCAGGCAAAGATACCCAAAAGAGTTGAGAGTGGAGCTGGGAAAAAATTTCAAAGCCAAGCATTCTGCTTTATCAGCAGCAGATGACAATACTTCAAACTGATTGAAGAGAGGAGAGATTTGAGGATTTACTCAATACTCTTACAGAGCTGCTGGTAATCACTAGAACCAATTTTGCGAGAGGCTGTATGGCGTCTCATTCTATCAATGAATAGTGACTTTACTTTAAGGACATGCACTTTATATTCATTATGAGTGGATATAAAGAGGATTCTGTTATGGTTAAAAATGAATTTGAGAGGAGGAAGAGAAATAAGAGGTTATAGGTGCAGTTAAACAGGCAGGAAGGAACCAAGGAGAAAAAATTGCACTTTCATTTGGTATTTCTGTGCTGGCATGAAAGCTTTGATGCCAGCTTTCACCCAGGAAGAAACCTGTCAATTCAAAGTGAATTTTATTTCAAACTGATTAAAATATTTAAGTGTGGAAAACTCATGCCATTTAACCATTACATTTTTTTCTAAGTTTCTGGTTTTAAATAATCTATAACAAACTTCAATTTTCTCTTTTTTATAAAAAAAGAAAACAAAAAACATTGGTATAAAGGAGATTTACATTCCTCATCTTTATTGCCATATTCACAACATTTCAGCTGTTGTATGCTCGGGTTTTCTTCAGATGATTGGAATTTCTAACCAAACTCTTTATTCTGTCTGAGGTAAATTGTTCTAGTTCTATGTACCATGCCTATTCTGGATGTCACAGTTATTTTCCTTTAACTCTACAATTTTTTGGTTCACCACTGCTGTAGCCTGGTATTGAACTCACAACCCTTTGGGTCTAGTCACTTAAGGTCACATGGCCCAGTGGATAAAGATGTTGGATAGATCCAAAGGGTTGTGAGTTCAATACCAAGCTACAGCAGTAGTGAACCAACAAATTTGGAGAGTTGAGTTAAAGAGAAATAACAGACATCTGGAAGATATATGGCATGTGGAACTAGAACAATCTACCCCAGTGCACGAAATAAAGTGTTCAGTTTAGTTCAAAATTCCAATCACCTGAAGAAGGTCAGAGCATACAATGGCCGAAACATTGTGAATATGGCAATAAAGATGAGGATAACAGTCTGAATAATGTAAATAATCACAATACCTCATCTTAGAGGTATAGACATATTAAAGGAGATTCGGTTAAAAGAAGTTCAAATAAATGACTTTAAACCAAAGTTATCTTTAAGATACTATGAACACCATAGCAACACAAACCAAAGTCATGTTTAATCAGTCTAAATAAAATGAGATTCTAAAAGATACACAAAAAGTTGTATTAAGAAATACCTGTATCACTGTCTAGAAAAAGAAAGATCAAGTATGTCATGTAAACAAAATCGGAGTCAACAATCAATTTATTTAATAAATATGAAATTCCTGGCTACATCAAATCTTTAAGAAAACATTAAAACAAATATATTTTAAGAATGAAGTTATTCAAAGTGAATTTAAGAATAAAGGAGCTGAAAAATAAAGGAAATTAATTACATACATAAATATATATGAAAGAGAAAAAATTATTAAAATGTCATGCAACATGATCTGAAAAAAGTGCATCTAAATGTGCATCAAGCAATGATTCTATATTAGATTTGAGGAAAAGCATTTGATAGAATCATGACTTAATTCATTTGTTTTGAATTGTTCAAAGAGGATTCTTTAATCTTGTTTGACAAATATGAACATTTTACTGTCTAATGTAGAGTTTCATATTCACATCATAAAATGAATAAAAATGAATGATAAAAAATTCAGTTTGCTGGGGTGACATGGGTGTGTAAATTGCAATTAATAAGCCAACTGTCACTTTCCATTTGGTTGGGTGTTCAACAGGAAAGGATGTAATGTGTCGGCCTACAAGTGACAGGAATGTGATATTGTATATCTTGGTAGGTAGTCAGTCTGAAAATGTTACTGGTCTCGTATTTTCAGACAATTTTTGCAGCCGAGTTGCCTTGGAA